TGTGTAACCTCAAATGTCCTAAAAAGTGCAATAGTGACACGACAGTCATGAAGATATTATCATTATACCAAAGCCAATTTTTGATTTCAAAGAAAACTTTCAAATTTGGAAATAAATATTCAAATCTTTGGGAAAAAACACATTTTGACCTGGACAGTTAATGACATCTCCTTATCCTTCTACCACAGATATTTCCCACACCATACATCTATGAACTTCAAAAGTACAACTAAAGGATAGGAATGGAGTTTTTCTTGGACAAAGATGATTGTTACTGAGACATGCCTAGGCTAAACCATGAAAAATGGGGCAAATCTGCACGGGTGCTTATCTTCAGGTTACTGTCAGTCAAAATGACTGCTGCGTAGTACTTTTTGACAGTCTCTTCCCCAAAGAAAAACTATTATGGACTCTGATTTTCTTTCTGACAAGAAAGAAAAGGATGTATTTAATACACCGGAGCGATTTGTCAAAACAAACCAGAACTATACATTCAATTATGTTCAAACCGTGTCATTGTATGGAGGACTCCTAACTGTAATATTCTTTTTACTAGATCAACCATTTGAGCCGTCTAAAATTGTGCATTACTGCTCTGACTTACATACATTGGCTCCAGTCTTCCAGCGGTCCTAGACAATGAATTAATTGATCTTAGAGGGCTCAGTGTACTAGGATTATCTTTTCGAGAACCAGGTATTTTCAATTATATAAACCAAACCATCCCCATCCCCACCCTTCACATATTGGTTCAGGCAATCAGAATAAAAATACAAATAAAAGAGGTATGACGGTATGAAAAAAGGTATGACGAGTGATTGATAAATTCTTCCACTTATTTACTTTATACCTGTTGTGGTCTCCAGTTGGTAAGATGCTGGGTAAGCTATAGGACAACTGCTTGTATTCTGTTAAACACAAAGCACTTTCAAGTTTGTTGGTCTGTCCTTTCAATTTCCCAGTGTCTTCCTTGCTGGTGACATTCCACAGTGACTTCAGACAAGATTACTCTAAATATGTTTCACATGTGATGATCCATTTTTTTTACATAGAATATAGAAAGGCTTCCATATTAATGTAAATATACACAGATCACTACAAAAATAAACCTTTTATCACATGTCAGCAGATGATGGATATGTATAAATACTGCACCATTGGATTTCTTATTCATGCTCAAAAATTAGGATAATCTTTTATCTTAATTTTTATGTCCTGCATCTATACAGTGTATGCAACTGTCTGCCAACTAAACTGTGAAAAAAAAAATACAAATGTGTTTATGTCCCTTTGTAGCTATTGCACTGACTCCATGAGCACACATAATATTTACAGAAATATTCTGAGCCATCCAAGTTCCCAAAATGTATTTTCTTTGAAAATCCTCTGCAGTGCATGGCCTTTGGAAATTGAATTGAACCAGGAATGAGGGAGTACCGAAAATGTAATTTTCTCATTCTCTGTGATTTCAAAATTTTGTGAAGTGTGACACCATATTGCATCAGCTTTTGATATAGTTGGTACTTTTGAGTAAATGGAAAATGATCTGTATTCATACAGCCTGTATCAGAACAAGGCCTCCACATAGTCTTTTGTGAAATAAGACACACTTAAATGAGTAAACACACACATCTATCAGCACTTTTCAGTCCCTACAGGTGTGTCTGAATCAATTGTGCTTTATCCATCATCCTTAAGGTCACGCTAAGCACATTGTTTTAACTGTATTTAAGTGAATCCTTGTTAAGGATTATTGATCCACATCCAAAAGATCTTTTGATGCTACTTGTTTGTTTTTTATGTCAGTTCTGTCAAGACGATCCCACACAACAGAAATACGACTGCTTTCCAGGTTCTGGTGATGAGCAAACAAACCATCACGCTGCCAATGATGTTCATTCCAGTTCCTTGGACATTTGGCAAATTACAACCTTTTTGTCCATGTTCCACTTACTTAGAGATGGTGACTTGAAATCTGTGCTTCCATGAGGCCCATTTCTGCGAAGACTTGGGCAAAATCTGTAGTCTTGAGAGGGACTGCAGACTTTCACATAGCGATGTGAAATTGAAAATGAATGACCAACCAAAACCATATCTCTCCTTTAAAAAGAGCTTCTAAAGCCCGTAAAATTAACAAAATATCAAGGGAATCTGACTCCTTGGAGGCAAATAAATTAAAGAAATACAGGATTCAAGTATCAAATATACATAGATCTTATTTAGAATATTCAAACTTTTGTCTTACTTAATCCTAAAAGAAATTAAAATACTGTTATATCATTGTGCTTGTAAATATCCCCATCTGTATTTCATTGTCTCATCATATCATATTGGATCTAAACTGAACGCTGTTGAAATGTTTGTGTGTGAAACTTGACAGATGCCTGAATGCTTCATATCCATTAATCCAATTGTGACGATACTTTTCCCATTTAAAGATACACCAAAAGATTGGGGGAGGAAAAATGCACAAGGATTTAGATGAAGACTTAAGCTTTCACCTGAAAACTTTATGTTTGTTTGTCATCACAAGTCTGAACACTGCTAGCTAACATATCTCAAGATTTCAATGCATCTCTACATATGTTTGGAATCTCCCTAATGGAGGCAGACAGATTTGTTAAGCCTTCAAATACGCCCTCTCAATACGTATCAGTGCAAAGCTGTGCCTTCTGTTAAAATCTTTCACAACTACGTTACAGCAACCAGTTCGTGAGAATAGAAGTGACTCAATAAACCATTTCTATATATATAATGAGAAGTGATTCCTCCCACTGCAGACGGATAGACAGACAGGGGCTTTTCCCCATCTGTTCTTCATGGCATAACTTCAGTTTTGAGTATGACTCATTGCTCTGGGTGCTCCGTATCTGCTGGGTGGCAGCTGTGACTGAACTGAATTCCATTTGCGTTTCAGGTCAAAAACTCACCTCTGAGAAATACAGGAGCCTACAGAATGACACCAGTGGGGTTACTGGACATATTAAATTATTTTGTTAGAAATACATCAATAATTTGGCTCTTTGGGAACTCACTGCAGTTAACCTCTAAGACAGAATTGCAGGCAAACTTGTCTTCTGTTAAAAACATTATTGAAGTAAAACACTTTCCCTGCAGTTTGAAAATAGCATTACATGGTTATAATTAGAATATTGTCAAAAGTAAAATGACTTTCTTTTGGTGTGCCTATCATTGTCATAGATGCTATTTCCTTGTGGCCTTGAGCCCACGTAAACAATTACAATTAAACTTCCCCTCTTGGTTATATTTTGAATGCGATTAGATTATATTAGATGGTTGGAGATAAAAAAAAATTAAGATATTTGTGTGTTTGGGAACAGTCATGGCTGAAAAAAAATATGTTTACACCTTTGTTTGTTTGTCTTACTGTTCCCAGTTGGGGTACATTCACCACAAGAGATATTGTATATTCTTGGAATATACTTATTGACAGTATATGAGCTCAAATGATCTTTTCCTTACATGGAATCATAGCAACTTTGATAATCCCCTGACGTCTGTTCTTTATTCATCGTTGATCAGAAAGTGTATTCATCTAAGACTTGACCTTTAAAAACCAATAAACTTGTTACAGTTTCTTCTGGTTTCAGAACTACTTTGTGCTTTCAGTGCCGATGTTGAAACGATTTAAGTCATAGCTGCTAAGCTGTGACGGTATCATAAGCGTCCTTTATGCTGAAATTTGCATTCGGCACAAAATCCCCCGATACGCCGAACAACTTCCATATGCTGCTGCATTACACTGAAGAGTGTGAGTCCCTGCACCTCAGCAGAGACAACTTTATTAGCTTTGACTGATACATTTCGCAATGCGTGGGTGTACATTTCTCATGGTTATCACCATGTGAAGTATCATTTCTAGAGCTGGAGACGCTTTATTGTTCGCCAGCTAGAGACAGGTTTATGTAAGTCTTACATAATTATGGAAGCGCTTTGACACAGAGGGTGGGCATCTGAGGAAACAGAGCAGAATTAAGGGGCAACTGAAGGAGAGTCAAGAAGACAGGCGAAACTTCCTTGCAAGACATCATAACTAAGTGACCCAGACAGAGAATCTGTCGTGTCAGATGCCAGTGCTAACTAAATGCTGAGGTATATGACATCCTTTCCTCCTACCCAGTTGTCAGCCAGTGTGTGGGGTTGGTAATGGGGCACAAACAGGCTCATTGAGCTGGATGTTATATAAGCTATAACGAGGTTAATGTATCGACTGCATTGATGTACACCGACTTGACATCTGCACTGAGTTTCTCATACGACAAATAAAGTCTGATAATCAGCTACTTATCTTGTGTCAATGGTCTCAAGAGATAAAACCAGATGGCAAGAATTTCCAGTGGAAAAAAAGAAAAGAAGCAAAACAGGACATGTGCAGGGAAAAGTGCACAGCGAGCACATGATTGCTTTGATCCATCTTTTGAGATGAAACCTCTCAGCGATATATGCTCAAGCTCTTGTGGGAGTCATGGTACTATTTCTTAAATTCCATGAAAGCCACCATATGCAGGGACAGCCTTCTTCTTCCCCTTCAATGTAGCAGTAGCACTCACAGCTGGAGAACATTGACTTGAGAATGTACTGTCTTCATTCATGGTTCCTCTTCCATTCCTCAGCTGTGCCATTTTCAATCAATAGCTTTTAGGAAATCAGCTTCTACCCTGCAGTTTGGAATGAAAGGCCTCTTTTGTTGTGATTGATGATCTCAAGCTGAAGAAAATGCATATTTTTCAGAGGCAATTTCCCTCTTTGCAGCGAGTTACATAATACATTCATGTAGAAAAATACAAAGAAAACCCTGAAAAGCAGCATTTCCCAGCCCAAGCAAGAATTCAGGTGATGCCTACCTATCTATTATTGTTAAGTGGATGGAAGGCAATTTCAGCAGCACAAGTTTTTCATGCGGATAAGATAATCTCATTTCCCCTCTGGTTCCAGGTGTTTACCGGGACCATTAATTCCCATCTGTATGTGATGCCTACCTCGCCACCTCCTCCTCTCAGTCTCTCTGTGAATAAAAAGATAAAAAGATCACATTGATATTTGACAAAATGCTAATCAGACAAATACTCGTCTATTTTCTTATGCATTTACATAGTTTAGTGGCGTTGACAATATACAATATAAGCAGTATATATTGATTTTACACCAAAAAAAACAAACAATTAAATGTTAGGAACTACAATAATCCCACTCAAATTGTATGTATTATAAATCTAATATTTCACAATACTATGAAGAGAAACACTGTATTCAGATTCATTCTAAATAGATCTGAGTTTCAACTCAAACATATTGCAACACGATGACTTGAGCTGCATTTTTCCCAGTATCACACTGCCATCTGTTGGCTGCTTGCATCAAGGAAAAAATATGAATTCTTCTATGTGAGATGATAGTCACAGAGGCAGAGACTGTTGAGACAAAAGTAATCCAAATCAAATGGAACCATGATTATTATTAAATTATTTTCATAATAGAACATAGAGAATGTGTGAAATGTGAGACATTTTGCTTTTTCATTAAGAACATTGGCTCATCCTGAATTTGATGGCAGAAACTCCTCCAACCAAAGTTAGGAAAAGGACTACCAGTAGGCCGAGAGGCAAAAGGTAGTATAAGGAAGCAGGAAGCTCTAGCAACGAGTTATATTAACATGGCTGAATATGACATGGAGGAGTGCCTTAGATGATCAAAATCTCAAATATGTGAACATGGGCAGATATTCAGCAATCTGTAAAAATGATTTTATGAATTATGGATCAGGGTTGTAACAATGTTCCTTATCATAAAATTGTAATCCTCGAATATCTTATCTTCTATAGAACAGAATAATTGAATCGATTCAAGAATGAATCTGTTTAAAAAGGAGAGGGTCAAAACTAATATGGTCTAACATGCTCTGGTGAACATTTCTAGAAATGATTGGCTTGAACACAGTTTGCTCTGTTATGTTCAAAACCTTTGATCTCTATCAAAATAAAATTTTGAGGCAGTAAACTGCTATAGATATTAACTATAAGCTCATAGTGTTTTTCGATGGTTGACTCAGAATGCATCTTCTCCTCTGTAAAACACTTGCAATTATATGAAGAATGACATTAAGAATAATGCGTTGACTTGAAAAAGATCAATAAACCATAAATACAAGGTTTGTGCAAAAAAGTGTGTTTTGAACAATTGGTGAAAGTGATTTGATAATACATTTGGCATAATACAGATGGACTGAGTGAGAGATTAACTTCATATATACAGTAGAAACCTGTTTCACCCTATCCTATGTCAATACAGAAGAATATTAATTTTAAGTTTGCACCTCTGTATTTTCAAATAAAATTATGTCTTGAGATATGAGACGATATTCTAAAAAAAGAAAAGTAAAAACCAATAAGAATAGTAAAAATATTAGTTAAAATATTACCCCTTTTCCTTTATTTTGTAATATTTTGCACCTATAATGTTTTTTTTGTCCCTTTTTTGCACATTTAGAAGTGTTTTTGTTCAATTATCTAGACAAGCTCTCTTTGAATGAAGAGAATTAGTATGATGGTAACTTTCAAGTAAAGTAGGGAGCAAATAGAAAAAAATCTTAAAACTTGATAGAAAATTATCTAGTTCTACATTTTTACATCTGCAGCACCCCTTATCGATGATTTCTTGACCTATAAGCATATTTTAAGTCTAAAAGATAATAGAGGAAGCAGAATGAGATATCAAACAAACCAAAAATAATTTTCCTAATAAAATGTATTCCTGAAAATGTTGCCAAGACCAAATATAAATTTTAATATCAGATTTTTCACACAACAAACTTTAAGTTTGACACTATTTGCCAATAATCTTTTTTTTTTTTAGATCTAAATAGTGTGGGAGTGAGGAGCAGAGAGAGCATAAAAATATACAACAATTCTCCAAAACCAGGTAACCAACTGCTTTGAATTGGTAAATGAAATAACTCTCTTGCCCACAGCAGTGCTGTCACAGTTTTCACTTTGAAAAGATAATTTCATCCACAGAATAAACAGAGTTCTAAAAGCTGCGGTATGCTGCCTGTCACAGGAGACTGTTGAACATAAGAGCTTTTAGGCCATGGGTTTTCCCAGAGAAAAACACATACAAACATTGGGATGAGTGATGACTTACATTTGTCTCACAAGCTGTAATTGATGGTCGTGTTTATTAACAACAAAATGCCCAAAAAGTGTCATTACCATTTTCACAATATTAGAATTCGTAAAGTGCTTTTGGCCTTTAGCCACAATAGAGTAAATATGCAGAACAAATTAAAGTGAATCATCCTGATGGCCACCAACTGTTATGCCTCATTCTGAAATACCATCTACCACTTAATTTGCCCTGATCTGCACTCTTTTTTTAGTGATTGGCCCAATGCACAATTTTTGTTTGCAGCCCAAAAAACAAAAAAAGAGAGTTCATGTTGTTGCTTAAAGGTCATGATAATTGCATTGTATTTTTTTTCCATTGATCTACATACAACAAAAAGCATGTGGCTTTTGCCTTTTTTTAAATTCCCTTTTGATTGCAGATGCCAGAAGAGGGCAGAGTAGTTTCAATTTTGTGTTCGTCTAGATTTTCCTTTCTTTGTTTAACTGCAGGCAAGGATGTCAAACCCACAGAAAATACTTGAAAAAAAAACAACATATTACTAGCAAATACTATATCTATTTGTGTAGCCGTCTATGCAGCCAATCTTCTATCTATCCATTCTTCTATCTAGCTATTGTTCTATGTTAGTTGGTTTGTTGCCTACATGCCACAGAGGTAGGCGATAAGATTACCTATTATTCTGAAATTCAACCGGATACAGAATGTCTTATTCTGTGAGCTTGACAAAGGTCCGAGCGGGGGGAGGCTGTCAGTTGTCGGCAGGATTCTTCGGGAGCATCATTTCAGGCAGCTAGCTATGTAACACTCCAGCTGCTGCTGTATCCAGGAGCCCCCCTCCCCATCCCGGCCTCCCGCTCAGGATGGAGCACAGGACAATTGAATCGGACCTAATAACTGGCAGCAACCCTGTCACCTTTTACGGCGAATTCACGCTTGTAAATAAACGAAAAGTCCGGTGTTCCGTGAACCTGACGGACAGGGACCTAGTCGTTCAGCGGCTCACGTCGGCACCTGTCGGGCGACACAAGGTGGTCTTGAGTCTGAGGGACTGCGTCGGCTGCCGGGCGTACCAAGAAGCGGACAAGGGGGACCCCGCGGCGTACTTTGCGGCGTACTTTTACCCGCTCAAACGCAGCTGGATGAGTTCCGGGCTGTCGCGGCAGAGAGTGGAGCAGTGCTTTCGCCTCTCCAATCTTCAGGACCCGCGCTCCAACCTGGAGGAAGCCGAGAAGTGGGCACGCGCTATTCGAGAACGATCGGCCTGGCAGCGGCCGCGCGCGGACGGTGAGTGGTCTCCATCATCTGAAAGGGCAACTTGGCGGTCTTCAGTTTAAAGTTGACACTGTCATTGATTAGTAGAGTAAGGGGACACCACAAAACCTTAATTATTTATTTTAAGGGTTGCCACGGCTGCCAAATTATTTCTAGCCAATAAACTCACGAGGGTTAGTTCAACTAAAACCAATGCTAACATTAATAACATTTTCCCCTGCTACACACAGTATGAATAAGATAATTATTATTTTTTTCTTATTTTTTGTAATTAATTATTTTCTATTTGTAAAAGGTTTACAGTTTGGTAAAAAATTAAAAAAGCTGTACACATCAATCATAACTCCCATTTGTGACTTAAGTAACGAACTGATATGTAGTATCATTTCAGCTTTGAGCCTTTAAAGACATTTGAATTAACCTAATCAATGCTTTTCTGGAATACACAAACACTACTTTATTACTTAAATACAAAGAACACTCTCTTTCACTGCCACCTGCTTTCTTTTGCTTACTACTTAATTAGGTTAGGGTTAGGGTTAGATGACATGTCTGAGACAGACCTGAAATGTAAGCTTATCAGCCCTGCTTTGTCATTACCTTCTGCATTCTGAGATGAATAAAACAATACCCCCGGCATAGGGTGAATCACATTTCAGTAACCCCAGCCAGCAAGCAAACCTGTTTAACATAAAAGAAACGCAACCAAATAGGTATACACAGAACATACAGTCAAGTATAATAACATATAGGAACTACGCCCTACTTCCTATAGGAAGCTATTAAGATAAGTTATCTTAATATTAGTCTTTCTCACCAAGCTATCTCCTGTCACATAAAAAATACATGTTTTTTTTTTCCCCTTACAATCCTAACCCAAAACCAGTTGGGGTGTCCCTAGCACACTGTGACCTAGTTAGTGTTTTCCCATTTGAACAAAATTATTTTTAAACACGACTAAATGTGTGTTTAGCGTATGAGTATGTGCTGAAATGTGTCACTGCCTGTCATTGTAAGAGGAGGAATGAGAAGACTTGGCTAAATCATGACAGTATTATTTGCTTGTGTTGCAACTTAACCACCATGAGTGTAACTTGAAACAGCGACTGGGCAAGTTTACTGGCTTTAAACACAGGCTGTTGTGCAAATGTCGTCATTAGTTGTTCTGCCCTGCCTCTCCCATTACCAGTACTAATGTACTATACTGATGAAACAACAGTGGCAGGTAACTCACTCACAAAGCGTCTTGGTCTCTGCTGTCTCTACCGATCAGCGTTGTCCCGATATTTATGGACTTTTTCCATCTCCATTGTAGGGTTCATTGGTTTCTGCAATCCAGGATATCAGAGCAGTATTTAAAGCAAATAGCCTCATCAATATATCTACCCAAATGTCTGTTGCGTCACTTCAATGTAACCCTGAGCTTTAGCTAATTTTGGACTTATGTTTTTTACCAAATGTGATTTCTCTGGAAAGCGGAAGATTTTGAAAACCTTTTAGTATCTCTGTTTGTGCCGAGTATTGTCCACACAAACTTTTGTCAGATGTAAACAGGATCTAGTATTTCTGTCCAGACTGTTGAGCGAACCCCTAACCTGTCTTAAGTTCGAATATCTAAATGCATTCATGATCGGTGTTCACAACTATATGTTGTTGGATCTCTGAAGTTTGGAGTTAGCTTTTTCTCCCCCTTTGTGGGTTCCCTCCTGGTACTCCGGTTTCTTCCCACCATCCAATAACATGAGTGAGTGAATGTGTGTGGTTGTTTGTCTCTGTGTGGCCCTGTGATGGACTGGCGACCTGCCCGTCCATCACAGGTGTACCTTGCCTCTTCCGGCCCCCCAGGACCTTGCTAGGAATAAGCGGTATTGACAGTCTGGTTTGAAAATGTTTTACTTAAGGTCCATACATTGGTCAGTCCCTCTCTGCTGAGCCATCATTACAATCACTTAATTAGAGAACATTCAAGTTTTTTTAAAGTATAGGTTGCTAGTTTGCTTCTATGGTCATTGGTATTCATTTCAAACTTCATGCAAACTGTAGGGGTCTTTTGGTATCTCTGGAATGTAAGGATGTGTTTTCAGTCTAAAAGGCCGCCTACAGCGGGTTACTCATTATGCTTGAGGCCTTGTGAATAATACTTAATCACATTTAGGGACGCTGCACCCGAGCCATTAGCCCAAATGAGGTCAGCGTGGCCTGCCTGCCCTCATCAATATGGTCATTGACGTCTTTGGCACCACTGAATTATTATTCAGGCGGCATCCATTTTCTGCGGCTCGTTTTCCCCTGACAGGTGGAGGCAGACGATGTGACGCAAGCCGGCATTTGGGTTTGAAAACTGCCTGAATGAGACTGCAGTCCAGGGCTGTAACCAACCAGAAAAAATCTTGGTCAATCGAAACCCTGACATTTCACTAAAAATTCACTAGTTGTCAAAGTGCAAACGAATTTAGATGATACGCCATGTTTGTAGTTTAGCTGCGAGACGGTAGTTTGAAAATCTTGCATTCAACTTTTCTCCTGTCATCTATTTTTGTAAAATTCTGCCATACGGCCGATGTATTTGACATGGTTAATCGAGGAGGACTCACTGAAAATTAAAATGACTACCTGGGGAAGAGACCCCAAACAAAACGTAGAGACACAAAACCTGATAAAGAGACAAGACCTGATGTAGAGACCATGGCGGACGTGACAAAGACGATGGCAAAGATGGTTGGAAGTTGACATTAAACAAGCTGGAGACGACAGGGTACAAGGATCTGGCCCAAGACCGAAGTACAAGGGCCGAAGCAGACTATAAGTACACATGAGGGGAAACGAGGAACAGGTGCACACAATCGGAAATTAGGGAAGACAATCAGATTGGTGACACATGAGAAAGGGCAAGAGATCTGAAACGAGAGTTATTTTTCAAAATAAAACAGGAAATGACGAGACCAAGGCATGACTAAACAAAACAAGAAAACCTCTAGGGATGGCAGGGTGTTCTCTAAACACAGGCTATATTACCTGGGAAACAGGGCTGCTCTGATCTCCCCCATGAGGTTGGTACTTTCCTCCAGATGAAAATAACCATAGACTTGATGAAACTAACAGGCAAATTGGTCGACCAGTCAGAATTTTGGTCGACCCAGAACGCATCAACCGCTAAGACCAGTTGACTTAGACTTTACAGCCCTACCGCAGTCCTTCTATAGCGCAATAGAAAACTTGTTATCTTACTTAGACCAATCAGCTGTGTCCTTTTCTATGTCCCAATTTGGTCCTCTTAGAAAAGGTGGATGAGGGAATGGTGGGAAAAAGTTCGCAAAAATGCTCACTTTTGGAAAACTCTATTATAAGCCACGACTCTGCAAACCACCTGATGTCGTGGCAGTTTTGTTTTGTGTTGTAGTAATTTTGTGAAAGTATAACGTGTGAAAAAGGGAGCACTTGAAAGATAACTTTTGTAAAAGTTATTCGTTTAACCAAAATAAGGTTCTTTTAATGGTTGTGGTCTGAAGAAGGTAGTTTGTAGGGTTGATTTTATTATTTGATTTCCCATCGATTTTCCGTTTATTGTCCAATGTCACAGGTAGATTCACATCTGCTGTGGATTTCTTTACATAAGGATCAAGGTTGGTTTAGATCTGATTGATTTAACACCTTCTAGATACCTGTGGTACCTATGTTTGAAAATATGTGGTTTCACCAGTTTAAAGATATCTTCAAAGGTAAGATACTATCACAGCTAAGTGCTAAGAATGAAAACATACCTGTGTAGATTCTCAGTCATCCAGGTACAACAAATTACATTGTTTTTTATTTGACTAGCTCCTTTTATTTTGCTTAAAAGAGATTTTGTCTAAAGCCCAGAGCCATCTTTTTCAACTGTTTAGCCTCCTTTTAATCCAGTAACATTTCAGACTAATGGTTGGTGGTCAAGGACACCTCTAAAAAACACCTCCCTGCTTGGATTAAGATAAACTTACCCCAGCAACACTTTTGTGTCATATATGTCTTGGAAAGAGTAGATCTTTGCCTTCTAATTCTACTTCTTACCTTCAACTGTGATTCAGTAGGTCGTAGACTACAAGGACTCTAAAATTATGACACTAGAGGTTTTAATATTCTCAACTCACACACTCAGCTTCTTGCTCCCTCTTGATCTTTTACGAGATAATGTTTAAAAAGAACAAGTTGATAAGTTTATCTTGATGCAAGCGAAGGGAAATTGTTTTGGCAGCCTTAAGCGGTCTATTTCAGATGAGTATCTAATTACTGTAATAACTTACATTTGGTGTACATTTTTATTTTATTTTAACAAACCTAGGTTTGTACCTGTAGCTGAGCAGTATCAGTGTTATCGGACATTTAAGTTCCAAGTTGTGTGGCATAATTTATTAGTTTCTTCTGCCTATTGACAACACTTCAGATAGATAGATAGATAGATAGATAGATAGATAGATAGATAGATAGATAGATAGATAGATAGATAGATAGATAGATAGATAGATAGATAGATAGATAGATAGATAGAGAATAGATCTTTTAAAACATTTTATAATACTGCATATCTTTTTTTTAAATAAATGTAGCTGTTTTCACAGACCACTCTCCACTTCCTCTGAAATGAAAACAGAAGCTTAACCTTCAATTGGCTTTTCTGTCTTACTTATTTGGATCTCTTTCCTTTTTTCCCCTACCTTTTAAAACCATTTTTAGACGGTTTGTGTGAAAAACCTCCTAAACTCCTCTCCCTGCTCCAGCCATGGGGCTTAAAATACACACAGGCAAAAACAGCTCCATGCTGAAAGAGGCAGTGCCTCAGATACATTTTCTCTTTTCCTTCCTGGCTGTACTTGTTCTCTGTTACCATACATTTTGTATGGCGAACCCTAAGATGCGGCAGGACTAACGGTGTCTCAAAACTTTATGTCATAAACTCTTTGACTGGCTTAATATAGCTCTACAGCAGGCTAACCACTGTCACCTCCTCCTCCTTAGACTTCCACACCCTTTGTGGTTCTGGCTCAGCAAAATCTGCTTGTGTGCTTAAGCAGCTTCCACTCTTTGATTTACAGACGGGGTCAGTATTTGCCCCTGACTGCGACTTAAGGGTTAGGACAGTAAGAACCAGCGAGTGCGCCTGGAAATGAATCGAGGTTTATGCAACGGTTCAGTGTCCCAACACATACTTCTGATTGGTGAATTCGACTGCAAAATCCGTGACGTTAGGTGGCAATTTCTTTTCTAAATACAAGATTCATTATTTCCTGATGTCTGATGTTAATAAGTCCAATTCATCCTTCCATCCATCCATCCATTATGGTCACTGCTTAGTCCCTAATGGGGTCGTGGGGTGAACTGGGGCCTGTCCCAGTAGTCAATGGGCAAGAGGCACCCTGGACAGTCCGCCAGTCCATCGCAGGGCCACACACAAGACATTCAAGGACAAACAACCACACACACTCACACACCCTCCTAAGGGCAATTTGGAATGTCCAATCAACCTAAAATGCAGGTTTTTGGACAGTGGGAGGAAGCCAGAGAACCCGAAGACAACCCACGCAGACACAGGGAGAACATGCAAACTCCACACAGAAAGGTCCAGGTTCTCCCACGGACTCGGACCCAGAACCTTCTTGCTGTGAGGCGACGGTGCTAACCACCACACCACTATAACAACAGTTATCTCACAGCACTTTCCAAACAGAGCAGGTCAGACCTTACTCTGAAGTTATTTACAGAAACCCAACCATTCCCACCAAGAGCAAGCACTAGGCCACACAGGCAATGAAAAACTTCCTTTTAAGAGGCAGAAACCTCGAGCAGAACCATGGCTCAGGGTGGGCGGCATTTGCCTCGGCCGGTTGGGGGTGAGAGACAGAGAGGGCAAGAGAGAGAGAAAAGGAGAGGTAGAGAAGGACAGAGGGATTGGAGGGAGGCAGCCTACACAGTAACACATAGACTGGATGAAAAATGGTAAAGATATTGATAGTAATGATAATGATAGCAGCAATAACAGCAATAAGACTATGAACAGTGGCAGTAATTGTAGCAGAGTAGGAACACGGGGACAGCAGGAGACTCCCAATCACAGATCCAGACTCCACAGCTCTAGGAACACCTGCAGGAAGTGAAAGGAGGAGACTCCCAACCACAGATCCAGACCCCACAGCTCCAGAGTCAGGAACATCTGCAGGAAGTGATAGGAGGAGAGAGGAGAGGGACGAGAAAGTACACGACTACGGGAAAGGGAAAAAGTCCAGTTAGTAACATCGTTAATGGAATGAGGTTACACTGGGAGGGAGAGAGAGAAAGGAGAGAAGAGCTCCGTGCATCATGGGAAATCCCCCGGCAGTCTGGGCCTATAGCAGCATAACTAGGGGTGGACTCACCCTAACTATAAGCTCTATTATAAAGGGAAGTCTTAAGCCTACTTTTAAATGTAGAGACGGTGTCTGCCTCCCGGACCCAAACTGGAAACTGGTTCTACAGGAGAGGAGTTTGTAGATTAAGTTTCTAAACAAAACACATAAACACCTGAAACAAAAAATGAAAAATTGAAAAAATCTCTGCGTAAATTACACTTAAATAAACCTCTCCCAGCAAATATGTCCTGCTAGATTTAGCATTTTATCGCAACGCAGTTCACTACAGAAGTGGAAGCTGTGTATCAGAACAAGCCAGCATACAAATCCATATGTACTTCAACATGAAACTTTTACGTGCTTGTCTGTATTTGAAAAAGTAATTTGGAGATTAGGTATTTTCCACGAATTGTCGCATTAGTAAGTGTGTGTGAGAGCCATATAAAGCCTGTCCATGTTCCACTGAATAATATGTCTAAATTGCTATCATGTAGATTTGTTTAGTGTCCAGTTTAAATACACTATTAAAATTTTGCTGCCCCACCGTTCTATTTTTTTAAGCATCTCTGGCTTAGCATCTCTGGCTTGTAAAACATGGGATTTTTGAAAAAGTCCTTGAATTATAACTTAAAAGGGTTAAATCAATGTTTTTTTCTGACTTGGCTGAAATGAAATTATATACTAAGGGATTCCCTAAATTCCTGAAAATGAATAGCACAGATAAATATTAGAGTTATTCCAACTGAGTGGGGTTTACATACCAAATCTTTCACATTTTTTATCATATTTGGCCACCATTTTTCTGAACCACAAGCAATTACCGGTAATGTTTTTCTAAGTTTCACTGCTGATGGGGAGCTGGATTTGGGGGACACCAGTAACTAAAAAAATTATGAATCGTAAAATGAAATAGTGTGAAAACAGTATTTCTGATGAAAATAATGACCATAAATATTTCATAGAAAATCCTCAAAAAGTTGACTGAAGAAAAAAACTCATTTTTTAAGCTTACTGAAAGAGGAAGCTGAGATGCCGCTCAACTCGGAGGTCTGCCTCATGAAAAGCGTCTCCTATTCTCAGATGCTTTAGAAACCTAAAAGGCTATTAAGGGAAACCTTTCTGGAAAATGTGTTTTTCCTGGCTCCTGGGTTTTTCCCATTCATTTAGATTGTCATTTCCTGTTGCAAATACCTCAGTTGTGGTTATTCCATTTAGATCTGGGACTGTTCACATGCCATTGGTTCAAAGTGAGCCGACGAGATGTCTGTAATCGAGGATAAAGTAAATGGAGCTGAGCTGCTGAGTAGAGCTTTGTTGCAGAAAAGTTAGCTCTTTTTTCGTATTCCTCCTCATCTTCACTGCTCATTTAGAATGCTGATTCACTTTGGTTGTTCAGCTTAAGCACCGTATAGTTATCCACTTCATCGCCTATAAAAGGCAACAAACTGCCCTTTTCATTACAGCACCCAATGACACCCAGCCATCAAATGATTAGAAAAGAATCTGTAATGGTTGGGTTAAAAAAAAAAAAAGTGATTTCTATCTTTTGGATCCTCTGTCGTGTATCTGTCCCGCTTTGGCTCAAAGCCACAACATGTAAGCAGCAGAGCTGACGATGAGGGAGGAAACCTGGACAAGGCAGAGGGGCAGACTGATAGCATCTGGAATGTTTTGGGAAGGGGAGGAGTGGCACACCGGAAGTGGCCAGAGGATTTAGTCAGAATAGGCTGTTTTGAGAATAGCGCCCACACAAACACACACACACACACACACACACACACACACACACACACACACACACACACACACACACACATACACACTGGAAAGGGCAGGTTCCCTGTCAGCTGGTAGGAGAGTTGATTTATCTGGACACCTCTATGTCTTCCCTTCAGGGGTCCAGTTACTGGGCTTTTCTTTTAAACCTGATACAAAAAAGTATAGCTCTTTATCTGCAAAATTATTATTGTAATCTTACTGAAAGTGGAACTTTGTCATTAGATGATTTGCATTACTATACAATACATTCATCTTTTATTCAAATCATTGTTGTTATTGAAGTGTACGGAAAAAAATCACTGACCATTTATTTGATGTATCACAATAAATAGAGAAGTATGTCAGCTAGGGCTTAAAAGATTCCTATCACATTTGATGAAGACATTTATGCTCCCAGTGGATAAATCTTAGTGACATCATCTCCTTGATTGTTTCCTTCCTGTGTAAGGACATTTCCTCCGTCAAAAGTCAGAGTGTGTAGGCCTACTCTGTATTGGTAAATATTACCATGCAAATTTTTGTGAACTAAAATGGTAATCCTTGAATAAAATGTTTTATCATCCTAGCATGGATTTGCATGCCTGTATAGTGAATTTGTGAAAAGGTAATATTGTTAACACCTGATTTAAAGCAACACTGTCCTAAAAGACTGCCTCGATGGTGAGATGGTAGTTTAAAATCTTTTTGAAGGACAAGAATGAATGATATGCCATATTTACAAGTTTAATATCTACACGGCCCAATTTATGTGCCGCGTTTTGTGTTCTTATGTGAACTATAATTGAAAGGATGTTTTTTTTTCTGCTGTGACTCTTTCAAGATGCCAAAATTCAATGTTATTTGTCGCAACACAATTATACATAGTTTAAAGGCAGTGAAAGGTATTATGTTCCACACCGAAAGATGTTCCATCTTTCTATGTTCCAAAGAATAAACTAATAATGAAATAAAGTGAAGTAAAAGATATATACATATTCATTCACAGGTGAAACTGGACAGTTGTATTGGCAGTGGGGGTACGGCTGGGTATCAATAAAAGTTTTCGATACCGTTATTGATACCTTCGCTTCGATACTGGTTCCTGATCGATACTTTTTTACCGGCAACAGGAGCCGTGAGGGCTAGGCCGCGACGAATAGGAGGGAAGCCGTGGGTGCAGATCTTAGTGGTAGTGGTAATCTTTATAAGATAACAAGAAGCAAATTACATTACACGTGGTACAAATCTTCTGTTTTATTTTTTAGCTTTGGTCATTTTCCACTAAAACCAGTATTCTTACACATAAAATAACCCTAACTATTTACAGCCCAAAAGAATACAGTAGAACCTCTACATACGAATTTAATTTGTTCCCGGGACCTACTTCGTAAGTTAAAATATTCATATGTTGGTTCAAATATTCACATAAGAATACACTTGGTCGCTAAGTCGGATTGCATTTGCATAGTGATAGCATTGATAGCGTCCGCTCTAGGCTTGTTCCCAATCCGATATTTTGGATCGGGTTAGGGTTAGGGCCAGCATAGAAAATGCCAATCCAGATACCAGATCCAGTTTTTTCCAATCCCACACACGCATCAGCATATCCCAATCCACAGGTCTATGTCCTACCCATGAAATTGTTATAAGAGTAAATCACTGTTCAACATGAGTCTGACAACTAAGTAAGTAAGCTAAATAACTTTAAACTTTAATACATGCTTTGATAGGCCGGTGCTGGTATCACTGTCACAACACAGTTACATGTGAACCCTGTCTGCAGGGCATAACCACAAAACATCTCTGTCTGGTACCGCATAACTCCACAGCTAATCACAGGTAGCATATCAGGTCTTGATCCCGTGACTAACTTCCGTGTACCGAAACTTGGCACCGAGAGACGAGGCATGTTTCAATACTCGGTACTACTGAAGCACTTTGGTCGGTGAAACAAAAGAACCGAAGTTTGGTACCCAGCCATACCCAAGACACGCTCAGCGGTGCAGGTGTAAGAGTCCCTGAGCACTTGAGAGGGAGCTTGAAGTCCCTCGGGCGTCTGAGGCGGTAGAGACGCTGTCGAGCTGTCTTCACCAGAGTGCTGATGTGATTGGACCACGTCAGGTCCTGTGTGATGTTAACACTCAGGTACCTGATGCTGTTGACGTTCAGGGCCTTGATCCGGTATGCAGATTAATTTTTTACTCAACGGGATGAGATCCCGCGTGGGGGATCGGGTGAGATCTGTGTCTTTCATTTTCATTTTCATTTTCAGTTGCTCCCACAGTTGATTTATTCACGACAATCTGCTTGCCAAGTGTAGATTCACTCTTCCCAGACTGGTGCAGGTCTACAAATTTCTTCCAGGTGTCCTTTGACAGATCTTTGGTCTTTGCCATGGTTGATTTTAAAGTCTGTCTGTTTGAGGCTATGGAAATATGTCTTTTATACAGATAACGTTGTCAAATTGGTGCCTTGAACAGAGGCAATGAGTGGTGTACAGACTCTTCTCAATGAATATTACAGATCTTTGAGAGCCAGAAATCTTGCGATGGGCCTTTAGTCTGCAGTCAAGCTGAGCTTGGCTTTTTTGGGGGACAAGAAGAATAACAGACTGCATAAAGCACCAGGGGATGATGCGCTGGGAGACCATAAGGTTGAATATTTCCTAAACAGCGCAAGCCGGTTGGCACAGGTTTCCAGGAAGTTATGCCTGTTATGCCGTCAGGTCTTTCAGCTTTCTTGTTATTTACCATAGATCTTTCTATTTTCTTGACTATCAGCAGTATTATACAGTCGTGTGTGGAGACGGTTTGTGGGTGTCAGTATGGATGCTGAAAAAACCTTTACCTGCTGTAAAGTATTGATGTTGGTGGTTCTAACACGCTGACCTACAAATATCTGCCGTTCAAAAATGGCAGATATTTGTGTTGACGTTTGTTGCTTTCCAAGCTCCTGGGGAAAATTCCAAACAAAAGAAAAAGGTTTTGTCCTACATTTCACACCTCAATTAATGTCACTAAGCTTAAATCAAAGTTACATCTTTATATGATGCCGCTTAATTCAACAGCGCTACAGACTCCACCTCCTATGAGACCGTGCGGCTAGATTTACAGCAAACTGATCCTATATTTTGAATAAAAGAAGGGTTAGATGCAGGTATGTTGTACTAGACTGGACTAGTTCAAAGTTGAAAGGAGTTCCATTTGAAAATGGAAGTTAATTCATTCCCACGTTAAAGAGACAAGCCTTGTCTTTACCTGCTTATCTGCATTCCTGGAGCAACACTATAACGCTCAATTACACAACTTGTTTTGAACAAGAGCGATTACTCCTCAGCTACTCCCGCCCACTGTTACTCATTTATCAGCTGTCAGACATGTTTGAATGAAAACTCGGAAGGAAACAGCTGAACAAGGTCAGATCACTCTCAGCGAGAAATTCCCCCGAAGGGTTCTTGTCTCGCACGTGCTCTGTGTGCGTTTGTGTTTTGACAAGACGTGTCACGCAAATAGGCTTTTATATTGATCTCTAAATTTATCTCACAGTTTCAGTGTCAAATCTAACTGATGACTTAAGGCCACAGTTCAATTTGCTTATCTATTTTAGATGTTACAAAACTAAATTATAAGGGAAAGTTGCTAAATTGAAATAAATATTAATGAACCTTCAAGTGAATTCATTAATTTTATCAAGCCTCTGTTAGACACATTTTTCTATGTAGTCTCTCTGAGTAGCTTGTCTTTGGTATTGCACAAACTAATACATGCAGTATGTTTTTAATGCTCCACAAACATTGTTGCTCCTCAAATATTGTGGGACAGGGAGCTAATTGCGGTTCCACTCCTCATTAGTCCTAATTTGTACCTCGGGGGAGCCCTTCATTTAAAAAAGGTTTTCAAAGCATTTAAGGTCATTGTTTGCTGGATCTTTAAAATCTTAGATCCCTGTGATATTCTAAATACTAGTTTGCATCAGCTTTAATCAGATTTAGTAAACAGATAGCATTTTTACACTAAACTACACAGTAAGATTTTTTTTTTGTGTTTGTGTGTGTGTAATTAGTCATTTATATTGACTGTAAAAATATTACCGGCCTGTGACATTTTTTTCTGCTTCAGTTCACAAATCTCCTGTCAGTTCTAGCCACAAAGTCACTTCAGCATTTTCTTTTTTGTCATATATTCAGCCAACATTAAACTTGATTCAGCTGCATTCGTTTTGCTGCACAGACAGCCACTGATATGATACGCTGCATGCACTAGCCAGACAGGAAAAGCATGGAAAATTGCGTAAATTTACATTCAGTTGGTTTGAGTCGCAGGTTTGCAGCTTTACTCCCAACCAGCATCACAGATAAATCCAAATGCATCATAGTAGGATAATGTCACTAAAACTTATTTTATTACATTATCTCACTGTGCAACATACAAAGCCACTGTATAGTCTGAACTGTAAAACACTAAGTAAGGCACAAGAAATTCCTCTAAGGGGTGCCACCAGGGACATAAATCAGAATGAACCTCCATATACACATATGAAATGAAATTTTCACATACTATACTGAAAACCTAGCACAAACACTAAACACATAAACTAGGAAAAACATTTACCTCTTATATAACCTACTTAAAAGCTCTTATACAAGTAGTGAGAATTATTCATATAAACTGGTGAAAAGCTCTATCCCCTAATTGGGTCACGGGGGGACAGGACAATATCCCAGTGATCAATGGGCGAGAGGCGGGGTACACCCCGGAAGGCCCACCAGTCCATCGCAGGGCCACACAGAGACACACAAGGATGAAAAACCACACTGTCAAACTCATTCCTAAGTGCAATTTGTAATGTCCAATCAACCTAACATGCAGGTTTTTGGACAGTGGGAGGAAGCCGGAGAACCCACGCAGACACAGGGAGAACATGCAAACTCCACACAGAAAGGTCCGGTTCCCCCAGGGACTCGACCCCAGAACCCTCTTGCTGTGAGGCGATGGTGCTAACCAGTATAGTATGTGGAAGAGTTTAGTTTTATATGTTAAAAACACATTATAGCATTATAAAAAGACCTATTTAGGCCCCAGCTTCCTTTTTACACCTCTGTCCAATCTTTTATCCAGAAAGGGGAATGGTCCACATCTGAAAACCTTGTCAGTTTGCTATGATTTCAACTGAATGAATATGGTGATGATTGATATACATTTAATCTCTCCTGTTAATGGAATTAGATTCACATTTGGTGCACTTTTAGCATTTAACTATTTTTACTCTCCTTTGCAGGGATGCTGCCGAAGGAGCTGCCTTGTCCGCGCAGAATGATGCTACTGGTGAACCCACAGAGTGGGAAAGGACAGGCGCTTACACTGTACAACAGCCATGTCCAGCGGATGCTCAACGAGGCTGGTATCATACAGAATCTGATTATCACAGGTAAATTGTTGGCCTAAGTCAATATATATCCATTTCTTTTTGATTAGTTAGTAAAACTACATCTTGGTTTGTGTGGCAGTTTTCATTAATACGGAATTTCTGACATTGTCCGTGAACATCAAACGCAAGGAATTTGCGACCACTTCAGCCAGACTTCAAAACTATTTTAGGTACTATATTTAGTCCATCCAAAGAGATTTGCTTCAGTTTGGCTGAAATATAGTTATTCACACTTCAGTAGTGAACAGGATAAAGCAGTAATACCTGAATTTTTTTTTAAAACTTCATTCATGCAGTGATTTAAAAAAAATAATTGTTGGAAATGATAGAATAAGGTCAACATGTCAGCTTGTTCTTCTACATTTACGATCTGAATTTGGGCACGTCGTAAATTTATGTGCAGCTCGTGTGGCCAGCATTGGCAGACTTTTTAGCAAATTAGTGGCAGTGGGTGGCCAGCCAGGGATAAACCACCCAAGCCAGAGTATTTTAAAAACATTAGATACCAGCACTGCCAATGACTACTTTGGAGCAAAAAAGTATATAGTCACCTTGTACAGGTTCTCCTACTTCAAAAACACTTAGGTTCCACCACAATTTACTAAGAAATTCTTTAAATATCCTACAACATGATGTCCTTGGTTTATTTTCTCCTCTTGCCTCATAGTTGAAGTTTACATACAATCAGAATTACAAACCTCTTTTTCTCATCTTTCGAAGTAGGAGAACCTGCACAACCAGTGGCTGACTAAAATGTTTTTTAAACCCTCTGTATCTCCCATGTCATTTCCTCCTGCTTGTCCATCACTCACCAGTCCTGAGTAAAGGCATACCAGGTTATTCTGTGCTATTCTTCAATGACAAAAACATCAATAAGAAAACTAAGCACATATACACATAGACACATATAATATTACTAGAAACCCAATTGGGTTATTGGTATATATATTTCTGAGGAAAAGAACAGGATGACATTCTAATGCCACAGCAACAACACCAGCACCTCCTACATGATCTCTGCTTCTCTGTCTTTGAGCCACTCTTCTTCTGCACTAGTTGAAAATATGTTTCTTTTCATGCAGTCGCCATTGTTATGCTGATCCTCTGCCTCTAACAAATATGCAGCACACAGTAAGATGCACATGACCAGCAGATCCCCACAATCTGTTTGTTGTCGCATTAGGTTTTGAATGTCTCAAGTATCACCACAATTTCTATGGTCATACTAAAATATGCGAGGACACGCCTGAAAGAGATTAAATCAAATGCTGCTCTCAAACGATCACACCAACCTCCTTTCTCATGAACTTTCTGTGAGCTCTGCTCTGTATTGAAGTTACAGTACCCAGGGTAGATTAAAGGCCGCAAGCGTGACGCAAATAACTGTTTATCTTAAAGGCAACTGTACAAAGATTACAGAAACACTTATCAAAACAGATAGAGATCAGGTACAGTATCAAGTAGTCTACATAAACCTTTCATAAATGTCCTTATCAGTGTGTACTGGCCAGCATGTGTGTTACCAAAGCCCACAAAACGTGCTGAAATAGCCAAACAAACCTTAAAGAACCTTAGAGAAAGTTTTACCACTGTCCAACAAACTCTGCAGAAAGCACAACAAATCCACTCAACACTGGAAGGATATTCTGTTCCTGTCTTCACTCCATCAGTTGGACATGCCCCACTTGCCATTATAGATTCTGAGTTATGTCAGTTACAACGCACCAAGCCTAGAGAGCTAACCATTCAGGATGTGGGTGAAGTCCCTGCACTGTGGCAGCGGCCATGGTTCGGTGGGTAGAAGACTCACAGGTTCCACCGTCCATGGCCTGCTGGGCCAGCATGGCGCCTTTTATAAGCAGAGGCAAATGTTGCTCCCTCACTCTGTTCGGCGCTGACATCTGACACTGACACCAGGCTGAGTGGAGGAAATGCATACAGTAGCACACTCATCCACTCCCAACACTGTATCTCGTTTTCTGAGTGAAAAGAAAAGGGGCCTACTGTGCCTACTGGCGTGATGAAAAGAGATCTTCTGACACTCGATTCTCCCGAACTGGCGGGCCACCTTTGTGTTCAACATCCACTCCCCGTGGAGTGCTTTTCCCCTGGAAGGCAAATCTGCCCCGCTGTTCAACATAGCGCTGAC